GTCTCAAATATTTCTCTTCTCCTTCCTCCATTAAACCTCCAAGTCCTGGAGTCACATGGTTGAATCTTAGTTTTCACCAAAGGGAAAAAAATTCTAGCTGTCATGCTGCAGAGAAAACCTTGAACATTCAAAGCCTTAAAAAAACCAGGATATAAACCCAAACATTAACTTATAGTTTTTAATAAATCTCATTATTTGAATGCAATGTCTTGCAGTTCTTAATATAAGATACAGCATTAGTGAAAGCCTAGCATCTGCCTTCTAAGCAGACAGCAGCTAAAGATCCAAAAAAAGATCCCCAGCTGCTATCATAGTCATCATCAGCACATAATGACTGGCATGCTGGGATTGTGGGTAGCTCGTTTAAAGCTGTCACATATTCATGTACTCTCTTTTTGACAGATTAACCCCTTTCCTGGGATGCAGGAGCACACTCGGTGCTCCCTCCCCAGCATCCAGTCCCGCTGTGCAGGAGAGCACGGCGATGGCTCCAGTGACAGCTTTTTTAATAAATCCCATTATTTGAATGCAATCTGTCTTGCAGTTCTTAATATAAGATACAGCATTAGTGAAAGCCTAGCATCTGCCTTCTAAGCAGACAGCAGCTAAAGATCCAAAAAAAGATCCCCAGCTGCTATCATAGTCATCATCAGCACATAATGACTGGCATGCTGGGATTGTGGGTAGCTCGTTTAAAGCTGTCACATATTCATGTACTCTCTTTTTGACAGATTAACCCCTTTCCTGGGATGCAGGAGCACACTCGGTGCTCCCTCCCCAGCATCCAGTCCCGCTGTGCAGGAGAGCACGGCGATGGCTCCAGTGACAGCGCTCGCAGCTCGGGCTGACACAAGGCCACAGCAAGCCCTCAGCCTGCCACAGACACTGCCCCGTGCAGGGATCCAGACAGCTATCTGTGTGATATTCCTGAGCAACAGCCCACTAGCTACTGCTTTGGGGAGTATTATTAAAAATTAAATAACGATTTCAGGGCTTCTTCCCAGAACTTTGTGCATGAACAAGAAAATAATGATTCGAGCTGGAATTTTTCCAGACATATGCAGAATAATTACTCTCCGGAAATTCTCTTTATCTTCATCCTTGTGGATTTGAATGCATCCTTGAGAAATCTTTCCCTCCTTTCATATTCATCAGAGGAGAGGACATAACAGTTACAATTAGCATACTCGAACCAAGGTGTAGAGGAACCTACCCTACATTAGTAATTCACCACTTTCCATTGATGCCACAACTGCCATCCCTTTCTAACTTCCACTCTCCCAACGGAGTAGATCAGAAACAAATGGCAGATATGCCAGATCAGTCAGAAGGGCTGTTGTAGCTGCCAACAAATCCTTTGGCTGATTCAACCATTTTGTAATCATCTTACATTTCAGTGCACCGACTCTCAGCCAAAAAGCCTTCAGATCTGTGCCTCAGCCCCCACCACAAAAGAGCAAAATCTGAAGACCTGAACTATAATGGTGTTATCAACAGAGCTAGAGAAAGCATCCAAATTCTCACTTCTGTGCTAATAGCCCCACTCTGAAGAGAAATAAAAGCTGGGTTTGGGGGATGCCAAATGAAGTAGCCCTCAAAATAGATGGAGTATCTATTTATTCCACCACTTGGGGGAAGTGTAAAGAATGGAAATCTACAATAAAATTTACACATCTTTTCTTGCAGTTTTCACAGCTCTCCAGACATACCAGTAAACATTCATAGTCAATCCTATAAGAATCTATGCGGATTTAAAAAGCTGCATAAACTCTGAATATTCATTCACAAGATACTTCTGAAGCCATTTTGTCACACTGTTTCTTTTTAGTAACATACGATTTTAAAAAGAACTGATGAAATACTTTGTATTTAAGAGATTTCTTACAGAAAGACGTACTAATTCGCTTTCCTCAACGTTAATGCCCTCCTGAGAAGCACTGCCTACTCCAAAGAAAGCTACAGTTCTTCCTCAGTAGCTTTCATCAGGCAGCAGGTTCAAGGTACAGGTTGTAACCTGCTCAGTTCTGAACACATCCAGAATGTTTGCATCGGTGGACAAAACAGCAAAAACGAGTCCTGGTAATATTAGTGAATTCTGCCTCAGAAAAAAATCACTTTTTAACAGGTATGCTCTGTGAAGAAGGTAATGAAGTGACCTATGCAGTGCCTGACAGAATCTGGAACACCAACCACACCTCAGCCTAAAGGACTACACGACCTCAGTTAAATCCCTCCCCACTGTAGAGCCTTACATGGTGTCTGAAATTCCTTGCCACTCCTGCTGGAGATGCAGTTCCACCATCGCTGCCTTCTGCAGCAGGATGAAATGCAAGCCACACACAACACACAGACACAGGTGCAGTTTGACTGCTGGTTTGTGACCACCACCTAAGGGAATGTGACTTCAAATTTCAGGGTCTTGTGGCTGTCAACCTTTCCTGCTCACAAGAGAGAAGGAGCACTTCCCATTCAAAGTAATCTTGTTTCATTTGAGGGAAAAATTAAATGGCTGAATGAAAAGAGTGTTCTATTCCTCCTCAGCTGCCAAATACAGGACTGAACCTAATAAACACTTCTCTAGGGTAAGGGCATCACCCTCTGTTGTTGGGGTTTTTCTTTTGCTTAAATCCACAGGGCTCCTCTTCCCCTCTTTCTCACGCATTCAGGATGAGAGAAGCTTCAGCGAGCACAGCTACCAGCATTCCAATTTATTCAGCAGCAACCCCTGTGGACTGCTAACAGCAGACTGCGATTCTGTTTGGATTACAAGGTGCAGATAAGTAATTCCATCCTTAATCTATCACTGTCAGTGCTGGTAGGGGAACAACTGTGAGAAGTCAGGCAGAGGAAAAGATAGATTAGGTAAAGAAAAAAATATTGTGGGGTAAAAGGACAGAAGAAATAGAGACGATACAAATCCATTAAGAGTTCTGTGCACACATGCATGCAGAGGTAGGAAATGAGGGAATGGGATAAAGGAACAGGGTGTTAGTATGAAAGCAAAAAGCAGGAAGGAGATATCCAGATTCCAAGCAAAAAAATTCAGTAGCAATGAAAATCTCACTTCCAACATAATCCATGCTTTCCATTGCAGTGATCCCAGTGTAAAATGCCAGGGATGTTTGTGACCTCAGTAAATGCTGATGGATACCACCACACTGCAGCCACGACCAATAAACCTCAAGTACATCATGAGGGAGCCTCAAAGCCTTCGCTTGGAGACCTGTCAGTAAACTGGGGCAATGTTACAAACAGCAACAAAGGATAATGCAAAGACTGCAAAAATGGAACAATGCAGAGACAAGAGAATTTCTCAGAGGATGGTGTGGAAGGCAGGAAGGATGAAAGAGGAGGTAAGCTATTTAGACATAAGTGATGGAGAACATCAATGGCCCACATCTGTTTTATGTGATGGAAGATTTGGGGATGGAAAACAGGGAAAGTAATAATGAGACTTGGGATTAATTCTTCTTTCTATTTTTAAAGGAACAGTAGTGCCTCCATCACTATATTTTACTACAAGTCATCATGTACAATTGAAGGCTGCACACTCAGGCTAGTCAAGTCCCCTTCATGTTTTTATCACAGAAACAACATTATTTTATGGGCAAATAGAAGAGTCCTTTGGTTCAGCTATAGGTTCTCACTGATTTTATGTTATTTGCTTGCTTGGCTAGACATGTCAAGACAATTTATCCTAGGAAAGGTAAAAGAGCTGCCTTCTGAGCAGTCACGTTAAAATAAAATGTTGACATTAAAATAAAACTTGGAAAGCTTTATTTTCGACCCTTGGAATGTCCAATGTTATAACCCAAATTCAGATGCATTACTGATAATTCTGTTCTTCCCAAGCTTACTCACTGCTTCCCACAGTAAGCACATTCTGTGCTCCAGAATGAACAATCCAAAGTGCAGCCAAGCAAAGTTTATGCCCTGAAAAAGGTATGGATTGCTACTAATGGCATGTTTTTTGGTGGCACAGATCTTCCAAAGAGGTTGCAAGGAGGGAAAAACCCAGAAAGTTTTGTGGTCCCTTTTTTTGGCTGCCACCCAAATCCACTCACTTGGACCACTTAAAGAAGACAGCGAATCAGTTCAAAGAGTAAAAATAGGGCATAGAAATAGTTTAATAGCAGCCAAGAGAGAGCTATATAGAAATATTTTAAAAATATGAAAAAATAAATAAAGAAATTAACCTACTGCAGCGTGAAAGGCTACAAAAATTAACAAAAAGTGGGGAAAAAAAGGAGAAAGCAACCAAGAAATCAGCAAGCAAGAGAACTTTCTCCTTGAGTCCATGTGAGTCCATTAACACAAGGAAAAGTGTGCAGGGCAGCACAGGAGAGCGGATCAGCTGCTGGCCCGGCCAGGGAAGGAGCGCAGCTCCACTCCCACAGAGTGACAGCGGCCGCGCAAGCCGCCTGTTCCCGCCGCGCTGACCCGGCTTCGGGCCGACTTTGAAGCCGCCGCAAAGCTCGGGGCCCGGGGCAGCTCCCGCTCCGCCCGAGCCCTGAGGGCGGCGGGGCCCCAATGCCGGGGCCGGGCGCGAGGGACGCGCCGGCCGGGGCAGGCCGCGCGCATGCGCAGCAAGGCGCAGGGAGCCGGGGCCCTCCCGCACGGAACATCGCCTTCCGCGGGCTCCCAGGCAGGAAGTGCAGGCTTCTCCCCCGGCTCGCCTCTTCCCGCCTTGGGGCTGCCGCAGCTCCTTGCCCGTAATTTCTATCATTTTCTGCCGTGCCCTCTGAGGGTCATTTCAGCCCCGCGGTGCAGGCCCCTTATGTTCTACCCAATAACAAGCCGGCTCTCGATGACGTCCTTAGTTGCCGGGCAGAATTCCCCTTCGCCTCTCCCGCGCCGCGGCGGCTCCACTGGGAGAGGCGGGGCGCCTGCTTTGATTGACAGCACAGCTAGTGGGCGGGGAGAAGCGAGAGAACCAATAACAACTGTGGGTGGCCTTGATGAGCAGGGCCCGCAGCCAATGGGGATGGGCGGGTGGTCGCTCGGTTGCCAGGGCCCCGCGGTTGCCAAGGGCTCGGTTCGGCGCGGTGGCGGCTCCCGCTGCCGCCGCCCGGGCCCGCCGCCGCCGCCTGCCCCGGGCCGGCGCGATGGTGACGCTCGCTGCCAAGTGCCTGCTGGCAGGTGAGTGCGGCCCGCCCGCTCCCATCCGCCCCGCTGCCCACACGGGAGCAGAGCGGGCGCCGTGGGGTCGGGCGAGGCCGGCGGCGCAGGCGGCCCGGCTTCCCACAGCCCCTCATGGAGGGCCGGAGAAGAGGTGGGAAAGAGGCGATGGGAGAGGGAAGACTCGGCCGGCTGGGGCCGGGAGCGGTGGGAGTCGCGTGTGCTCTTAGCACGCGGTGCCCGCCCCCGCCTGCCACGTGGAGTCCAGCAGCGCCCAGGGAGGGTGTGAGGTGTGCTTGGATCGGCTGAAATCCAAGGGCAGCATCTGAAAAGGAGGGGGAAAAAAACCCAAACAAAAAAAAGGAGTACTTCTGCAGTGTGGAAAGGTGGGCGCAGAGACTGGAGAAAGCGTGGAAGGAGCAGGGTAGGCAGCTGAGTCCTGCCTCATTTGTGAGCCTTGCTTTGGGCTGACCTGAAAACTTCATGTCAGAAATGAGGATGATTCTGAGAGTGTGATAGAAAGGTAAGGCCCAAACAAAGAGTAGAAGGATGAGCACTTCACAGTGGCATCTTTTTCCCCAAACAATTTAGAGGCTAACCTGAGAAAAAAATGAGGTGAAGACACCAGTTTATCTAGTCAGGGTGGATTATGGAGGTGTTGAAAGTGAGTACAGCTGCCTGTTAACACTTTGTGAAAAAACTTTTAATTTTTTCCCCTCCCTCTACACTGAAGCTCTGCGCCTCCTCAGCCAAAAGCACAAATCCATAAAACCTTTGTGTGCAGTCAACTCCCAGGTTTAACTCTTTGTTTCAAATTATTTCATCCAGAATAAAATGTTTGCCTTTTTTGACCTCAGAAGTAGCTGACCATCAACTCACACAAAGCCAGATGTGGTCTTTGGCAAAGGCAACAGAATTGATCTCCCTTGTGGCTCTGCTGCTGTGAACAACTATCTTGTCTGACTTCTACACTTGAAACGTAGGCATCATTTCCAATTTGGAAGTTTCCTGCTCCCAGTATACTGGCTTCGCTGAAGTCTATCCAGTTTTGTTTAGTGTTACCAAAGGCCAATTCCATGACCATTTAAAAATCACATAGGTTTTCTTTAGATGATCTGTTTATGTCCTTATTGGTTCTGGAGTGGCCTTTTCAATTCTGTTCACAGCACAAAGAACAGGAATGTCCTATCCTATATTTCATTCTCCTGTGTGCTACAGTAATATCCATGTATTATTAAAATTAATAAATTAATGAAGCGGACGAGGCAAAATAGATTCTCTGTTGCAGAAAAAAAAACTGTAGTGAAAGGGACCTAAGATATAGGCAACCACAACAACCTAAAGGGAACAAGAAAATACAATTCCATGGATAGGAACAAGCCCATCAGAAATGGAGATGGTTACAAAGAGCCAGTGACACAGAATTGGGAGCTACACCAAGGTCAAAGAGAACAGGGGAAAAGGGCTCTTGTTAGCAAAACAGGGACTATTGAATTGACAATAGAAGATGATTCCTGTGTTATCTCAAGGGTCATTTACAGGCACAAAGTAAAAAAATCTGTTGTCTGAGCTTGCTATGGAGACACTTCACAAAGGTTTTCATTGTAGAGAGACAGCTGGCAGTAGCAGGCATTTTTGAAAGACTCTACAGATTCTGGCAGAATAACAGAAATTTGGATAGAATATATACTGTGAGATGCACTACTGGCACACGAGACTAAACTGAAATGGGCAAGGAAATTTACTTTGAGGAAGTGTACTGGTGTGATGGGCTAAAGAGGATGGCAAAGAATAAAAAGAGGGAAAGAACACCTGGGGCTGTCAAGTGGAAGAAAGGCGATGCATTAGTTAAGAATTTGTGCTGGCTGATGCCTGCACAGTTTGGAGCAATGTGTGCCTCTCTATCTCATTTTACAAAGACAGATCTAATTGTCTATTGAAATACAGAATAGCTTCCACTCAGAACAGAGTGTTGTCTTCCGCACAGGCTTGAGCTGATCAGAGAACAAACAAGCTGACTTACCAGATTTTCCTGTCTAAATATTATGAGCCCAACTCAGCTCAAAGTAAGCAAGCATGCTAAAAATGTTTAAACAAGAACTACATTTGGTTAATGCATCCAGGGGTAATTGTCACTATCCAAAACACCCTTCCTGCTCTGTAATAGCATGTGAGCAGAGAGCTTTACCAATTTCCTTCAAAACACCATTAGGAAGCTGTAATGGAGTCAAAAATATACCCCTTTCTTGGTTTATTAATTAACAGCTTAATGTAAAATACTTCCTTTCTGGCTTTATTTATTAACAACATAATGTGAAAGACTTGTATTCCAGGCTTGGCTGTTTGTGAGTGTGCCTTTGAGGGTAAAGCTTGAACCACTGAGGTATTTAATTACTGGCTCCTGTCCTTTTAACTATCCAGGCTAGCGAGACATTATATGGAGAAATGATAAGCTCTTTGGAAGCATTAAGTCGTTGTTTATAAAGGGTTATGATTTATCATCTCTTTCATGTAGTACTATGGGTATATGTGAGTTCTGTAGAGCCCGAGGAAATGGCCTGAAATTGTGTCAGAGGAGGTTTAGGTTGGATATTAGAAAAATGTTCTTCACCCAGAGGGTGTTTGAGCTCTATAACAGCTCCCCAGGGAAGTGGTCACAGCACCAAGCCTGACAGAGTTGCATTTGGGCAATATTCTTGGGCACATGGTGTGACTCTTGGGGATGGTCCTGTGCAGGGCCAGGAACTGGACCCAGTGATCCTTGTGGGTCCCTTCCAACTCAGCATATTCGGTTCTGTGATCCTGTGATTGCTTTGGATCTCATAAGAGCAAGCCAAACAGTCACCTGTCTGGTTTGCCTGGAGTGTTGTGCAAGCCATATCAGAAAGCCTTGGCTCTAGAAGAGCAAAAACCAAAGCCCCTTGCTTTTCCCTCCATACAGGGATGAGTCAGCAGGCTCTTCTCTCCAGCCATGTGCTTTCTCTCTGACGTTTGCTTCTGTTATGCCCAGGATGCGACTAATGAGCCACCAGCAGCTTTGAGTCAGGAAGAGTTGCTCTCTTAGCAGGGTCAGCAAGAAGAGTTCGTTGAGAAATGTTACCAGCTTAAGCAGCTTTGTCTCAGTATGTAACAAGGATTTGAGTCTGGGGGAAGATGGATACCCTAAGGAGAAGAAATAGCCTCCTAGGAAGCCCAGTCCCTTTTCAAATTGCAATTTTCTCTACATGATAACATATCTGGGAAATTTTAATTCTTGGGTAAGGGCTGTGGTGTAAGAATGAATTTTAGAACGAGCAGCAATTCCACCTTAATCTGGCAGTCCTTTGCTGTTGTGCATAGGCCAGAAATCAGATGTCAGCCACCAGTATGCATAATGGCAATATTCATTTCCTTATGTGGGTATTACCTTTTAGATGGCTTTGTGCTTCATGTGACAGTTAAATTGCCTGTATTCAGAGATAGAGCATCTGGGCTCTTACAACATGTGATAGTATCAGAACTGAGGAAATAAAAGATTCTCTAGTATGAAACAAAAATATTTTATGCTTTTGGTTTTGCAGGAGATCCAGCTGTGGGTAAGAGTGCTTTAGCCCAGATGTTTCGCAGTGATGGGGCTCATTTTCAGAAGAACTACACACTGGTAAGCATACAACAGGCTCAGACTGCTGTCTAAATTTTTTCTAAAATGAGTGGGAAAACTGAGAGGCCTAGAACAAAATAAATATGATTTTAAGTTGAGGCATTCAAGGTGGGATCTTAAGAGGGTTTTCTTTCTTGCACCCTAGATTCTGAAGAGAAAGCATTTAACATTCTGTAAGTCTGCATTATGTAGGTGCTGGTGTTGAAACTTAAGGCAGAATAATTTAGTTAATCTTGTGATGTTCCTACTGAACCAATGTTTTCACAAGGTTTTGTGGTGTTAGAGAGCTCCCCCCTTCAGGGACTACTCTATGAAAAAGCACTGCTGAAGGAGAAAGCTTTTAATTCCAACTATTAAATGCGGATGTGGACAGTGCGCTTATCACTGTGCAAACACCAAGATGTGCTGCATAGCCCCAAGATAATTATAATCTACAGAAACTGTTCCCAGATGAAGAGGATACAGTTTGCAGTCTTTCAGTGTAAGAATCAATGGTGATGACTAATCAGAAGCAGGATAAAAATAAAAGTAAATATAAGTAAAGTAAAAAAAGGAAAATATGAGTGTGGAGAAAAAAACCCCTAAAATATGTTTATTCATTGAAATAAAGATGGAAACCAGAATTTAAGGATAGAAATAGAACAAACAAATGAGCTACAAAGCAGAATGAGATAAAAGGTGGAGGAAGCACAAATAATCTCAGTCCCATATGTTAGCTCATCACATGGTTAGTGCAAAACGTTCTAAGGCATGTGTTAGAGCAGCAGCGTGAGTGAACGTAGACCTGCAGACTTCAGCTAATACTCTGAGCTGTATATAAGCAAATCTCTTTGGTTCTCCTCTTTTTTCCCCCAGCTGAGCAAAACTATGAGGCTTTGACATATTGGTGAGATTAGGTTACCAGAGCTAGGAGGAGTATTGCTGAGTTTCCAGCGGTCTGTGTTTGATGAAATTGTAATGATTCACAAGAATTGCCTCAATCCAATGCACGGTTAGTATGCAGTTGGACAGGCTCTTAAAAACTCTCCTGATCCTCATTTTCCTGATTCTTCTTGACAGACAGCGGGCATAGAACTGTTGGTGAAAGCTGTATCAGTTCCAGAGACAAGTGATAGTGTGGTGAGTCTTTCTGTGACATAAATCGGGTCAGAAAGAGACGTCCAGTGCTCAAGCCCCACATGAGTCTCATTCTGGTGGAAGATCACTATGCATGTTCCTAGGACAGTTAAGTTGCATTAAGGAAATGAGGCTGATCATGTATAACTGCTGATACTCCAGGGTTAGTTTAGTCTTAGAAATAGAATTTTCATATACTTGTATCCAACACAACATTTTAAACCAAAGCTATTGCCAGCTTTGTTGAGAATCTGTTCTGTCCTTTAGAGCACTCAGGTTTAGTTCATGTTTCTTCAAACTACAGAAGCCAAAGCTCATCTGTTATTTCTCCTTAATGCTCTATGCTCCCATTAATGGAATGTATAAAATTTGGTATAGATAGAAGAGGTTACTGTCCAACTCCACATATTCTGTTTCCAGTAGGGATGGAAACTAGGCTTGCGGCCTTGGAAGTAACACTTTTACTGCTTATACATGAAAAATGGCTATTTATTTTCTCATATTATCTGGAGTTTTCTCAGTGCAGGGAGTTTGTCCCTTAGGGACATGACACTGATTTACTGAATAAAATGTTGGAGTTACAAGTTGCAGTATTTACTTCCAAAACCTTTCCCTACACTGCATTTTTCTTGGCAAGAGCCTTCTTTCTGTTTCCGCTTTCAGGAATTCTTCATTTTTGACTCTGCAGGAAAAGATCTATTTTCTGAAATGCTGGAGAAACTGGTAAGTCTTATGTAACAGTCCTCTTCTTCCAAAGAAGTGCTTTTGCTTTGAAGATCTGAGCTCCCCAGTCTGGCAGATGTAGCAAACTTTGTCTTTAGTGTAAATGGGAGCAATTACCTCAGTTGCCAACGCATCCTGTTCTACCTCTCTAAAACTTGTGTAAGTACTGGAAGAAATACTTTCCAGAGAAAGGAAAGCAGATAGGCAGTTTTCTTACAAAATAAATAGGAAACTTTAACTGAAAATTTCTGTGTACTGTTGTTTAAAGTTTTTTTTTATTTCTTAGAAAAACATCTGTTTTGCTGCAACTTCAGCAGTGAGAAGTTTCTTTTGTGTTACAGTGATGTGTTTGATCCAACAGGATTCATTCTTGTCCTTGAGCATAATCCTGTCCTTGAGCTTTTTCCTTCAAATATTTGTGACCTTCCCTGTGCAGTTCTCTACTGTGTTATCTCATTTTGAGAAGCAGAATCAGTTAATTGATGTAAGCTTTCATAAGATGGCTACGTCAACCTAATGGTTTATAGTCTACAAAAGCAATTCCACTTTTACATTTGCACTAGATCTGGTTTGCAAGGGTCTTCTCTAGAAGCTGGCTCAGCTTCTTGAACTGGAAGAAAACCTTTCTACTTTTTTTCTAGGATTAATTTTGTGCTGATTCAACATGAAAAATCAGCTTCCCTGGGGATCAGATGAGTGCCAGAGCTGATGCAAGTAAAGGGGCAGGGCTGCACAAGCAGGACTAGGGAGGAAAGGAAAGACCACCTCTCCCAATGTCAATGATTTAGTTGGGTCAATTGAAATGTGAAACCTCAGCCAGGGCATAGGATTCCTGGGTGTTAGGCTTTTTATTTTTGTCCTAGCAGCTGTGTTTGCCACGTTTACAGCCTGGCTGTTGACCACATCAGTTTCATTAGAGCTGACAGTGTTCCTTTCTTGCTGTGCAGTGGGAGCAACCCAACGTCCTGTGCCTTGTGTATGATGTCACTAATGAGCAATCCTTCGACAACTGTAACAAATGGTTGGAGAAGCTGAGGGCTCAAGCAGTTGGGATGCACATCCCAGGTAAGAATGGGTGTGATTCTTGTTATCTACTCCCCTCTTGTATGACATCAGTTGTTTCTGCTGAGCTGTGGAATAGAGCATTTATTTTAAGTCAGGGGCCGACATGGCTTCCTCCAACTCCTTTGCATTTATCGAAAAGCAGATAAGGCTTGAATATCTTTGCTTTCTGGAATCTTTTTTAGGTAGTTATAGACCATTCACCATGCCTACAACCTCTTCAGTTACTTCTACAAATATTGCAGTATTTATGGCTTACAAGTCAGCATTGATGAGCTAGGTTTTTTTCTTTCCTTTCATGTCTTTTTTTCTGTAGGTGTCTTAGTGGGGAATAAAACAGACCTAGCTGATCGTCGAGTTGTGGAGCAGGAACAAGCACAGGAGTGGGCTGAGAAACATGGCCTGGAATACTGTGAGATGTCAGTGGTGAGTATCTGCTCCTTTCACCATCTGTGCAAGGGGGTGTTTGTAAAGTTGTCTTTCAGGCAGGGAAAGATAACTGGGGACTCTCTTCACCTTGTTCGTCATCTAACTCAGTTTTAATCCTTCTTTGGTGAAACAGAGCAGAAATAGTAAAATGCTTATTCCATCTGCAATTGACAACTTTCTTGTTTCTTTACAGAAGGAAATGAAAAATTTTGAGGCCCCTTTCCACATCCTGGCAAAGTTATTCCACCAACTGTACAAAGAGAAAGTGGAAACTTTTCACTCACTAGCCTGACTGGTATGATTTATTTATCCTCTAAGCTTCTTCTAGTACTGAGAATCCTGCTGGACTGCATACAGAGAGAAGAAAAAATATGAGCTATTTGCTACTTCATGGTCATCCTCTGGTAATTCAAAATAAACTAGAAATAGGCAAGTAGAAAGACACTCTTCTGAAGCTGCTACCTCAGCATTCCTTTCATGTCCTCTAGCTTGGTTCTCTGCTCATTGAAAGTCTGCTAGGCTGGGGGAGGCGGAGAGTAAACGGGGAGGACAGAATGGAAATTGCCAGCTCTTTGCTTTAGTATCCTTTTGTCTGAGCAGACTTCCTGCTGCTACAAGCAGGGATTTAGAGGTTTGGAAAAAGGGAGAGGAAGCTGACAGGATGTGTTTTGACTTAAACCAGCCTTGGTACATACACTGCAGGGCAGGACCGATTTGGCCCTACCCCTTGAAAAGCATTTTTGGGAGGAGGCTTATTGCCTTAAAATCAACACCTGGAGACAAGATGTGTGGAGGCAGAGATGGATTTAGGTGTGTTTCCAGGAGCGCCCAGAGCTGGAGGCCAATTTTAAGTGTTGCCTTTATCAGCTGTAGGATTGATATGCTGGTGACTAATGCATGTTTCTAATTTCCAGAATCTCTTTCATTCCTTCGACCTGGCTCACTGTCCCTGCCTGGTGGGAGCTGTGTCGCGTCCAACCGCTGTCACTTGGTGACGCAGTGCCCTCTGCTGGTCCCAGGTCACAGGAGTTCTCCAGAGGCTGCCACCTCCCTTGAAGTGAGCAGGATGGGCCTCCTGCAGGCACATCCAAATTGGCTTAGCTGCAAAATGGAGTGAAATTGCAAGAATACATTTTCTATTCTAAAGATTAATCTAAAACTTACAAAAAATTACCTTTTCGTCTTCATGTCTTTATCATCTTACATATTGTTGTGTCATTTTTGTCAGCTGAATTTGGCAATACCGTTCTGATTAGGTTCAGTTCTCCATCTCAAAATCAAAGTCCTCTTATTAAAGTCTCTCCGCTTGTCATTGAATTTCAGATAAAAGACCACGGTTCTGATGTTGCTAGTGGAAACAGGACTAAGGAAATGAAAGACAGCCTGGCTAAGTTACTCTGACTCAGCTGTGTCTGGCTAGAAGTTTCGTATTAGAAAGGGTGAAAGCTTAGAGAGAGTTGCTCTATTGTGTGGAGTACTAATGTTCCATGTGTAAGACCCTTTGCTAATGCAGTATGCAAAAGCATCTGTGGTAAGGTACTGCCTTGTAACTGAGCCTAACACCAAGACTTTCAAAAATGTAACCATTATCTACCCGATTATGGTAGACTCCCTTGGGCAAGGGAAGCTGAGTTTTGTAGAGACTGAGCACTGAGTGATTTTTCAGGCAGTCTTTTCAGGAATCTGTGTTTCAGGACTTCTATACGTGTGGTTTATAATCATTTTTATGCCCAGTGCTAGGAAAAGTACATTAAATTGAACGTAAGAAATATGGCTGCAGATGTTGTAGCAGGCTTTGTGAAGCACTTCAAGAATCTGGAGAAGCACTGCCCTCATTTCACTGGCAACAGTGTGTTGATGCTGAGAACTCGCTAGGGAGCATGAATACCAGTTAAAGAGGATGAGTAGGAGCTCAATCTATAAGAAGTAAAAACAAGAGGTTCTTTTGCTAAAAGCCAACTCAAAAATGACAGAACAAGCTGGGAAAGCTTCTGCTTTCTCCAAAGAAGGAAGGAGTCCTCTATGAACTTCGGGTAACTAGAAGACTCACTCTTTTTGAACCTGATAGCACTACCGGCATTTGTATCTTGGAGGGGTTGTCTTGTTAATCCTGGGTGTTTTCTGTTGATTTGCATAGGCCGTATAGACTCTTGCTTGCAGGTGCTGGTATCTGCACCTTTTATTCTTACTCTGACTAGTAAGAATAAAAGCTATTTTGGATGCTGTGCTGATCCAGTTAAAGAACTAAAGAAGTTTTTTTTTTATTTGGTATCTCATTTCCCCCTGGTTCTATTGACAATGTGATCACAAAACAAGACACATATTTTTTCATATTGAAAATAACATCAGATGTATATGTCACCTGTGACAGGGTGTATCTAGAGGAAGAATGTCTTGGGAATAGGTAATAAAATTAATTCTGTGCAATCTTTGACCAGGGAGTCTATCGCTCTGCACCTGAAGGACCTCCCATAACTTCAAATAAACACTCTAAATGTGCCTGTAAGATGAAGATTGGTGAATGCTGTTTTATAAAATAAATGCAAAAGCTGGAGGAGCTCATTAAGAGAATGCTTGCAGTGGTGATTTTTGATTTATGGGGAAGCTGCTTTTGAGAAGTTAGTGAAGAAAAATGCAGCCCATGCAGGGAAAGATGTATTGCCTGAGAGAGGAAATGTATGATCTAATTAGCTAACAGTAGGGGTTCACCCACTGCCCCTTTCCCTCTTCCACCAGCCACAACCACAATTAGAAAAGAAGTCATGTTTAAAGCATGTTGTCCAACTTGCTTTTTACAGGACTATTTCAAGCACTAGTATGGACACAGTTTAATGTCCTTCAAAATAGTGTGTTTGACCATAACAATCTCAACCCTTTCAAATCTATTTTAACAGCATAATATATTGTCCTTCCTGGCTAATGTGCTGTATAATACCAGCCTGATGCAAGTGGTGGTTGTTGCTGTTTTCCTGGCTTAATTGTGACCTTGTTTGTAGAGGCTAGGAGTGAAGAGGGGGTAGAAAACATGGGAGCCAAACATGGGAAAGTTGTGGGAAATAGTTTTGTCTCTGTGTGAAGGAGTTCAGGGTGGTGAGTAAGTGAGCTGGACCAGCAGGATGAGTAAGAGACTGGAGCTATTATTAAGTTTCTCCTACCTGTTTACTAACTGTGGAAGTCACATCTGTAGAGTGAGGATGAGTGTTTGCTGCTTATAGGCTTAGCATCAGTCTGAATTACAGATGCTGTGGCGAACAGTGGGAGGAAGACAGAAAGCCTGTCTGCTGACCAGGAAGCTTGTTGTCTTCTTACAGCTCCCCTGCTTTGTTCAGCTGTGCAGTGCTGCAGGTGCTCAGCATGAGTGTTACAACACAGAAAAGACCCAGCTCAACCAGAACTGAAATATCAATAAAAGAGGAAAGAAACCAACAGGCCTTTAACTAGTTTTAATAGATATGTAGTCCTTTTTCCTGCTTGCTTGTTTGATTAGACAAAACCATTTCTTTCCTCCCTGGAGTCCCTCCTTACCTTTCCTTTGGTCCTCATGGGTCTGCACAGAATCTCTGTTATGCTTGTGCCCTGCTTTACTTAGCTTGATACATCATCAGCTGATTTTTTTTTATCCTTCTAATTTCTGCATTATCTATTCCCAAGGCTGCAAGACATTTCTTCTTAGATTAATAGACAAAAGGAAACAAAAGTGGAATTTTTAGTCAAATTGTCTTGAAATAAAATACCTTAAGAAGCTGTCTGACATTCTGAAATTCATTTGTGTAAAGTTGTCATGTTAAAGATGCTTTAATGGTTTTGTTTTGTCTTGCCAGACATAGTCTACTGCAGAGTGAAATTCAGGATGTAAAATTCCAGAAAGATCAGGTTTTATTTTGGGAATTAATAGGAGTTTGAAAGCTGATCACACTGTGATAAGATCTGTTAAGTCTTAACAATGAAGTGGTCACTGCTGTTCATAATGAAGCATTAAATATACTGAAATGGGGCTGTCAAAACAGTTTCTTCTAGAGATTTGTTAATTTTAAAGACTTTAAACCTAAGAAAGGACGTCTTTTAAAAGACTGATCTGATAAATGACACCATTTGGACTAGGGTTATTTCTGATATAACTTCAGTGACTTGAAGAGCTGGATTTAGTCTTTTATGCCAATTGACTCCCCTGGGTAAGCTTCATTTCTTTACCCACTATACATCTTGGACCAATCTGACCTGATAGCAAAAGACACATGATGTTGTTGAAAATGAAATACTGCCTTGGGGCAGAAGGATAAACTGTGTGGCCTCCTGAGGTCCTCCCAGCAATACTTTCTATAATTCTGCTAGATTAAGTGAGGAAAGAAGTAGTGTGGAAAGCACAAAACAGGCTAAGTCATAAACTAGCAATTAAACTGGGAGCTGGGCAGAAAACGTACAATCTATCCCAATTAAGAGCTGTATCTCAAGAGAAACTGGGAGCCTGACGCAGGTGCTGACAGCAGGGAAAACACTGCATTTCTCTTCTGGAGGCAGCAACTGCTTTTGCTGGTGCTTATGCAGATCTGTGGGGGTCCTTACGCAACTCAAGGCTGTGCTCTGTTTTTAATAATTACTGTATCTCTGATGTTCAGGTGGCAGTTGCTTGCAGTTGTGGTCTCATCTGCCTACACAAAGTCAGCAGCACAATGTCAGATTATTTGCAAGTGGCAGGAAGACATCCCTATTATTGACACCTGCGTGATGGGATGCCTCTCTCCCCATGCATTCTCAGTCCTTTTCCTATCTCGCATCTGCTCCTTGGTGGACAATATCCACCTCTGCTTGCTCTTAACAAGTAATTTTTCCGTCTTGCAGATGGTACTCTGTGGAGCCTAGGGCTGAGGGACTTCTCGGACCTTCTGCAGCAAAGGTGCAGCGAGAGCAGGAGCACTTCAAGGGCCATGTTGGCCTCCACATCATCTCTTTCAGCCTAAGGGCACATCATCTCTCTACTTCTCATGTCCTATTTCCTCCTCCTGCTGTCATTTTGCCTGGAGAACAATGTCTTCTGTGCCGGTTGCCCTTGGCTCTGTTGACCCAGAACAACAATGCTTGGGGGAGGGAGGAAGAAGAAAGTCCTGCGTCTTTTCAGGGCTCTTCAGCTGTTGTGACTCCCTGTCGAAATCACCTGAGAGATGGGGATGTTGCTCAGTCTAGGGTGTAATTTCCTGGCAGGAGACAACCAACTTGAGTCCTGGGAGCCTCATCTCTGCTCTTCAGAGCTTGCTGCAGTGTAACTTTGTCAGACACTGGCTGTTCTCCTTCTAAGCTGGGGTTTTGGTGGGAATTTTTGGTAGGGTTTTTTTGCTCCTTGGAGATCTTTCGTTTATCTGTCGTGGCTTCACGTATTTCCTCCCCTAGGGCTGTTTGTCAAGAGAAGCCTAGAATTGCTCCCTTTCCTGGTCTCTGAGATTTAATCTGGAAATGTTTAAAAGGGAAATTTGACAGACCCTACATGTCAAGCTGGGGTCAGGGATGGGGTCAGTTTGATGAGTTTCCCTCCAGCCAGATATACATCAATTGGAGAGATGTGGAGTCTTGTGATCTTTCTGTACAAGTACTAGAAAAATAGCCAATATGAGGGCTGCCAGTTAGGGACTGTGAGGAAAAGGATATAAAGGCAGAAGGGATTGACTTCTGTGTCCCAGACAGGGGAAAATGCAGGAGCACTAAGGGAACAGGAATATGTAGGAGATATGTAGGTCTGTTTTCCTTCATGGAGAACTGAAAGACTTGCTGAGGCAGATTGGGAGGGTGGGATTTAGGGATGGGAAAACCTGAGGCTTTTCCTGTCTTTTAGAATGCTGTATGGAAATAAGGTGGGAGGAAAAGTAATTTTTGCATGAGCCACTGAGGGAAAATGAAGATACAGGGTAGAGCTGGATGACCTTGCAGGTGGAAGGGCAAGTGGTAAGTGTAAATAACTGAAAGAAGATTTTCAGGGCCAGGCTCTCAGGGCCAAGGGCAGACAGGGGGAATCAGAGCCATGATGAGGAAAGCCACTGGTAGCCATCAGTTTAGGTTTAAGATGTAGAGCCTGCATTAGAACAAGGCAAGAAGAGTTAAAGTCTGTGTGACAGGGTTGACACTGGAATTTAAAAGGGCAGTAGCAAGGATCCAGAATGATAAACCTAGGAATAGTGTGGGGAGATAAGCAGAGCAAGCTGTGATGCTGTGAGCAGCAGTGGCTGGAGACAGCGTACCTAGGTGAGAGCAAAAAAAATAGAGTAGGTATGCTGAGGGCACTATTAGACTATCAGGTTGGAAGAGTGTGAAGAGATGTTGGAAATTCGTATTTGAGTACAGCTCTTCTGAGTGCATTCTGAATGAAGGGAAATAGATATCTACAATTGGTACCCACATATCTTCATAAACATATTTAAAACAGAAATTAATTCCACTGCTATATCTGCTATCTCTATTTTCCTTTGCCAAAAATTATCAGGACCTTTCTGCTTAAACCCTTTTTTTTTGTGGGGGTGTGGGGGTGGAGGGGCAGGAGGGGGAAAATGGGCAACAACACATACATTTATGCCTAATTGTGATGCTGCAACATGAATACATTCAGGAAATGGAAAGAGAACCTGCACCTCCACCTGACCAGGCAGAAATGTCCACTACTACATGAGCATCAATATCTCACAACAGGAACTTCACAATCAGTTCATACAGCAGAAGGGATGGAAGGAATATTTTCTGTGTTGTTTTCCCTTCTCTGCTTTTGCTAATTCATTTTGATTCCTGTGAAGCATTGCTCTCTCTTAGTCTAACAGTTATGTGTGGCCATGGTGGGACAATTCTAGGATTTTATTTCTGTTATGTTGAGTGGCTTCAGTTTAAGGACGGTAAAACTGGAAGTGTTGAGATTCAGGTTACAGTTGAAGCATCAAGCATAAAATCAGCTTGTAGGCACAGCAGAACAGAGTATCTAGGAAAGATGTCTTGCAGGGTTAAGATAATGCTTTTCAGTACTGTTGTCAGCAAAGAGAAGCTGTAATAAATGTGAAAATGTTAGGAAGGAATTCTGGTGGGTTTGGAAATGGTGACAAGTATGGGTTTCTTCTAATAGGTAAATGCAGAGGAAAGGATGCTGCAAGTCACAGGATCGAGGTATCTGGAGAGGTAGTAGAGGAGCTAAAGGAGCATTCTTGGACAGTATCGTGGAACTGGATAAGAGCAGGAGGATGGTTCTGGTATGAGCAAAAGCAGAATAATGCAAACCTTGCCCTCTGGTTTCTGTCCCTTTTGAGGTATGGAACTGTTTCACTTCTGCAGAGTATGTCATTGCTCTTGATGATTCTCACAGCTCAGATTGCCAGTAGGTTGTCTTTCCCTCTTCACTGAGATAAAAGTGATCCCTGAATGCCATTTTGGTCCACAGATGTTTTGATATCTGATTCCTTTTGATGTCCATGCCTCTTGCATTCTTCCTCCTGTCTCTGCATGTGGAGGTCTTATATGTCCCCACAATTCTGCTACACCTCCCATGATACCAGCCCTCCCCATGACCTTAAGACTGCTTATTTCCTCCCATGTACTTTGCTTTCCAGGATTAGAGCTGTGGTCAGAAAAATAGCCACTGGTCATTCTATGTAGTACCACCCTCTCCTACCCCTCTCCATCTGGTGCTAGAGAAGAGCTTGTGCCCTGTTCAGCTGGCTAGTTCTGGCACAGAGCTGGACTGGTACAGGAGTGAGAGGGCTGTGCCTATATTGGATGTGTATCTCTGTGCTGGTGAGGAGCATCTGAGGCAGGCACCCTTTCCTCCTTTTATCAGACTGCGCTCATTTATTTTACCATCTGTTTTCCCAGTGCTGGAGATGATGCTGGGGATATGTGACTTGGGGCACTCAGGCAGAAACTGGCCTGCACAAGGCCGGCCATGTGTTTGCCTCCTAGCAATGCAGCGGTCAGCAGCAAATTCTTTGCTGCTGCCTCCTCTCAGTATGGGAGAGAGCAAGTGTGGGCCTGGGTGTGTAGGAGACACAAAGAAATTAAATGTGGCAGGGGGAGAAAGGGAGAGAGACAGTGGGGTACATGTGTATCAGCTGGAGAGAACTGTGGGAAGGAGGGACAGACAGACAGATGGGTAGAGTTGGGGAGAAGGAAGAATGGATTGAAGAGAGGGAAAAGCATACAGAACTGGGAGAGACAAAGAAACAGAGTGGCTGGGGGGCAGCAAGAGAAAGGCTGTGAAGGAAGGAAAGACAGGCAGATTTGGCAGGGTTGTGGTGTGGAAATCGATGGATTGTCTGTGGGAGAGAGATGCATGCCAGCCAGGTACTACACTCCTAGATAAGTTGATAACTACAGAGGTGGAGATAAATTCTGTGTGTGTGTTTATACAGGGCTGTGTAAGGGTGAGCTGAATGAATGGGAGTGAGGAAGGGGAGCCATAAGGAAAGAGGAGAGTGAAGCAGAGCAGCAAAAGAACAATGCTAGATAGAGATGAACCCTTGGAATGCAAACGAGCTGGCATTGGGCAGTGGGGAGGAAGGGATTTGTATGAAAAGAAGGGAGACTAACTACATTCTTGTGTTTGGGGCTGAGGTTTTCTTATTGGAACCTGAAAGAGGATGCCGGGCAGCCATCAGAGCACAATTCCCCGGTACTAAACAGAAGCATTTTTATGCATTCAGGGCTTGCTGCCAGTGACAGAGAGACCCAGTGGACCCAGGAATGTAAATGCCACTATGCTAGTGCAGACAGTTTCCTACCTG